TCACACCCATGGCAGAGGAATCCAAGAACCCCGAATCCACTCCGCCGCCGGCCGAAGAAGTCCCCAAAGACGTCGCCGAGGAGAAAACCGTAATTCCACCACCTCCGCCGCCGCCACCGGCTGAGGACAAGCCGGCCGATGACTCCAAAGCCCTCGTCCTAGTTGAAAGTAAATAATCCTTTTCCCTCTCTCTTAATTGTTAACAATTAAAATATCTTGGGGCTGCCTCCATCTCTGTTCTGGGTTTCGATTAAATTTTAATTTGGGAAAGGGGTTTCTTTTTTGTTTTTATTTCGCCTTTTTCTGTCTTCTGTTTGGTTCCCGAGAAAACTCCAAGAAAATTAATCAAACTATTTCCAACCACCCAAACACCGCTCAATTAATTAATTAATTAATTAATTWATTTATTTATTTTCTGCAGAGGTTCCAGAAGCAGCTGAGCCGAAAAGCGCCGAGGGTTCTGTAAACAGAGGTCTTCATAACGATAACCCTATCTTTTTATTTTTATTTTTCTTTTCTTTTTTTTTTCTCGAATTTGATATATAATTTTTTTTAAATATATATTTTAATTGTTTCTGTGCTACGTAATATAAATCTTATTGGGACACTAAAAAAATCATCAGCGAATATGGAAAATGTTTAGGCTAAAATAGAATACCATGAACATTTTGGGTCCATTCATACTATTTATGGTATCTGTTCCCACAAATTATGCTTTGTTTTTTAATCCATATTCAAAATTGTTTTTATTTTAGTCAGAATTATTTTTAAGAATATCTTTTATTTATTCAATTTAGCAAAGTTTAGGCAGGTTTAAATACTTTTCTCATCTATGTTCTTGTAGTTTTGTTTCATTTCCAATGTTTTCTACTTTAACTGGTGACAATTTTAAAAGTACATGGACAAACTAATCTCATTTTGAAGAGATGAAATCGAACGTTTTGAAAGTGACTCAAATGAATATATTTGAATAGTAAAAGGGAGAACAAAAATAGTATTTAATAATTGTTTTAACATGTAAACTGAATCTACAAGATAGAAAATAAGTAATTATGAAAGAAGATGAATAAAATAGGATTTAAAACTAATTTATTTTGAGTGAGTAATTTAAAATTTGATTTGTTCAGATACTGTGCTGGCAAAAGTTGCGACAGAGAAGAGGATGTCACTGATCAAGGCTTGGGAGGAAAGTGAAAAGTCAAAGGCTGAGAACAAGTAAGATTCTATTCGGCTTTTTCTTCTATTCAAATTTCACACCATTTTAAAATTCTATTTTCATTCTTTTCCTTAATGACATTTTTCTACTCTTTTTGGTTTCTATCTTTTGAAACTGTAAATATTTTGTTTCGAAACATTTTGTTCAAATCTTACCCATTTAAAACAAATATATATAAAGAAAAAATACTTTGTTTGTGAAGTCTTCAAACTTTAAAAGTAGCTTCTGAAATGTATATGTTTGAAGTTTGAAGTTTGGTTAAGATTCAAAAGTAGTTTTAAAGTTAAAAAAATAAAAAATAAAACAAAGAAATTGTCAGCAATAAATTTAAGCCCCATTGATAAGGATTTCATTTCTAATTTTGTAATTTTAGAAATTATAGTTTTTTAGAACTTTTTTTTTTCCTTCTGTTGTATGCCATAAAGCTGATGTTTATCTTATATTGCGTTTTGCTTTAAAGCTTGCAACATGCTTTCTAAAATACTTTCCAACTTTTTCCAAAATATTTTCTAAAACCGTATGTTCGTAAAGATATAGTCCATTGTGCTATTGGCTGTCTCGTTTTGAGTTACGTTTTCTAAAACCATTTTTCGTAAACGTGGGAAGGTTGCAATATAGTTCATTGTGCTATGGGCAGTCTCATTTTGAGTTTGCTTATTTGCTTGTGGGTGGAAGCAAGTGCCTCAAAAAATTATTCTACGAGCCTAATCAGAGTGCAATTGTGACGGTTGAAATTTTTTTTTTAATACTTAAAATTTAGCTTAGATTTTGAAAACATAGTGTTCTCAAACTAGGGCATTAATTTTTCAAAGAATAAAAACTAAGAACAAATTCTACTGCCACACCTAATATGAGAATATCCTAGCTGTATGATGATGGTTGGTGATAGTTGAACTCAGTTGATTTCAATTACTCATCATTGAGAGTTCAAAATTTCCCAACCCCACTTGTAAATTTGTAAAGAAAAAGAAAAATCTCATGTAGTTTTTCATAAAGTATTTAGTTTTAGAGGTTAAAAGTGACTTTTGAGCATGTGTTAATTTGTTTTGCAACTGAAACTCCTTGAGCAGAGCACACAAAAAGCTATCTTCTGTTGTGGCATGGGAGAATAGCAAGAAAGCATCTGTTGAGGCTGAGTTAAAGAAGATTGAGGTATCAAATCTTCATATTACTTTAATATTGTCCACTTTGAGTTTAATCAGATACGCATTTATCTTTGGGCTCCATTCAAACTAGCTCGAATGAAAGATGCTTATAAATAAACTCGTGATTTTCCTCATCGCTTATGATATAAAGCTTAGTGAACTATTTATTCCATTTTTATTATCGTCTTGATAACTTTTACTGTTCTGGTTGCATCTGGATCAAGGAATTTAGTAATTGAGGGGAGAAATCGAACCATCAACCTTAAGGATTGTAATACATGGCTTATCCACTTGAGCTATGCTCGGATGGCCTAGACCCAAGAATTATATCTTTGTAGATATGTCAATATTTCTATATATTCAAGATTTTGACATCAATAAGGAGAAGTTAATCGATATTTCATGAAATATGGGGATATTTTGGTGGAAGCAGAGAATTATAGATATGGCTGATTAGTAGTCTGGGAGTGCTCTTGTTTTGATAGTAAACAAACTTTTGAGCAGGAAAGTTTGGAGAAGAAGAAGGCTGAATACATTGAGAAAATGAAGAACAAAATTGCTCTGCTCCACAAAACAGCAGAGGAGAAGAGGGCAATAATCGAAGCCAAGCGCGGAGAAGATCTTCTCAAGGCGGAGGAGACGGCTGCCAAGTACCGTGCCACCGGTACCGCCCCGAAGAAGCTTCTCGGCTGCTTCTAGAGCTGAACGTCGTCTTGACCGACACCGATCATACTGTACCGGAAAGTGAAAATCTTCACCAGTTCATCTCTCATTTGGGTGTTGATTAATTATTACATGTGTTCTTCTGTGTGATGGAAGGAACTGTTGGTTGTGTTGATTTAATTATTTGTGTGCTTAGTGAAGGTTTAAAGTGTTTGTTGTGAATATGATATTTGGAGGAAGATTAATTTGAATGTAAATCAATATTGTTATAGTGATTATAATTTAATTATTGCAACAGAACCAGATGTGAAATGTTTGTGAATTCTACTTTTCTGTTCATGTTCTTTTGACAACAATGTTGTTTTTGCTTTCTTTTATTGAAATTTTGCTTTTTTAATAAAGGAAAAATCTTTTGCTTTGTAATCTATTTTCAAAAACATCCTTAAAGTTCAAGTCTATATACAAATACATATATTCAAAATTATTTCAAAATGCTTCTGGACATAGAGAAAGTGCTTCCTTTCTAAATATAGCCTAAAGATTTTTTTTTTTTTTTTGAAGTTTTAAAAGCGTTTTTGACAAATTAGTCAAACGCTATAAAAAAAATTAATTAATATGATTTTTAGAATATTTCTCACTCTTTTAAAAGTTATGTCAATAATTTTAATCTAAACTGTCTGTAATTTCTTTGAAACAAAATAATTTTTTAGGTCAACAAGAAAACTAGATAAGAATATTGGAAGAGACAAACTTCAGCTGACTGATTTGACTGAAAATTAGATTTTACAGTTTTGGACATTATCTACGTGACAACTCAACTATACAACTTAGCTTTTTTTTTCTTTTATCAGGAATTCAAATTTACAATTTTTTAATTGAAAATAAATATCAATTAGGTTTAGGTTGATAGTTTAGTTAGAACACAGTTTTCAACTTCGGTTCTCATCTTATTAATTGAGCATAATTAAAATAAATAAAATATGTACTAAATAAATAAATAAAATTTCACAAATCTAGATATAGTTAAACTATACATATATTTTCAATCATAAAGTCTTAGGTTCGAATCTTCATTCATACATATTGTTGTACTAAAAAATTGTATATTTTTAGTCTTTGAATTTTGAAAAATAAGTCTCTTGATATTCTAAAAAGTTGCACTTTTTGATCCTTAAGTTTTGAAAAGTAAATTTAAAAAATTATTCAAGTCACTTTTTGGATGGTAGTAGTAATTGATTTGACTATTTTTATTAATATTTTTTTAATGTAGATGTAGGAAGAAAAAAATATGACATCAAATTAAAAAGACGAAAACCCTTCTCCCCTCACCCCTCTATAGGGTTAGCAACTAGGCCGGTTGGGGACAGGTGCATTCTCCATTCTCAAGCCTCTCCGCATAAACAAAATGTCACCATCCCGTGGACCTCACGTTATTTTTAATACAATACTGATGTGTCAAGCAGTAAATAGAAAAATGTATAGTATTTCGAAACCATTTCATTAAGGTTTTCATAGGTATAGCCTTAGACTATAAGGTTAGGTATATATCTTGTTTTACTTCATTTTTTGTGCTTCTTCAACACGAACCCCTTAGATGCTCACATTCTTTTTATTCGTTTTTGGTTCAATCCTGTTCATGCAAAGGTTGAGGAAAACTGCTGCTGTGTTTTTTCATTTTTCTGTCAACCTAATTTAACCCCTCATAACTTTCTTCAAAGACCTTCAAATTGTACTCCATTTGAAGCTAAAAGGAAAAAGAACAAGAGGAAAAGAAAAAAAGCTTGGTTGCACGTCCATGGAGGCCCCATAAACGTCATAGCAGCTGCTGGAAAAAGCTTGCTCAAAATGTATAGCACATTAATCTTCTGCTACTTTGGCTCCTTTGTCCCTTAACCATTCTTCATTGCAGCTTTTGGGTATCAATTTGGGAGTCTAAACTTGCATATTCATCTGGCTAACCAAGATTCCATTCTAAACTAAGCTCACTCCAACTGATTCAAACCAAGTTTTCTGTAACTGCAGAGTTGACTGTACCTGCTAACTCAAGCGCTTGTGCAGCCCTGTCCACTAGTACATGTCTTAAGAAGCTCTGTGGCAGTAAAAAACATATATATATCTTTCATTTGGCTTTGGTTTTACTCCAATTTTGGTCAGTATTGAGCTCAAAATGATTCCTTGAAAACCTCCACTCGCACTAAAAATCCCCTGTTCTTGGGATATTGATGTTGCTGTCACATTTTTTGCTCGTGTTTTCACTCTTATTTCGTGGTTCTGTTTATTGTTTCCGCTCTCATACTTCATTACCCTTATAGTATCTACATTTTTGTCCAATTTGTAGCCTATTTTCGGAAGCTGTCAGCTCCTGGAAATCGTCCAAGTTCACCTTACTAGAGCACGAATCACTCAGTTTTTCTGAATTTTTGTGGGTACTGCCTCTTTTGGTTCGTGTTTTTCTGCCACTTTTGGTTGTTATTTTTGTTGTTTCCTCTCTCATACGTCATTATATATATGAAATCTACAGTTTTGTCTAATTTTGAGCCCATTTTCACGAGTCATCAGCTCCCAAAAATTGCTCAAAGACACCTACCCGAGAAGCAAAATCTCTTTCTTCTGTTGTTCTTTTTCTATCGCAACCCTCGTATAATTCATGTCATATGTACCATCTTGAATTTAACTCAGTTTTTAGTCCATTTGAATTGTTAAATGGTATATTTTCACAGGAATTTTGTTGGTTTGTAAGGAGTACAAACAAGTTTCAGTTAGGGAAATGAGTGATCCATAGTATATAAGAAAAAACAATTATCTCCATTGATATGAGGCCTTCTAGGTAAAACTAAAAGTAAAGTCGTAGGCTATACCCAAAGCGAACAATATTATATCATTATGGAGATACTCGGGTACGAGGGATACCGTTGTCGTTAACAAAATTCACTCCAAAACATATACTTAGAGCATGTTTTTCCACCTTTGGAATCTGGATTTGCTGCCTTTTTTTTGCCTTTCATTCTTCCGTTTCTATTTGAGCTTAAAAATGCCTCATGTACACTCTTCAATTTGCTTTTAGTGTTTCTTGTTGATTATCTCCATCAACTTGCTTGAGGTTTGATTCACCATAAATAAGTTTAATTTGTCTGCTTTTAAATAACTCAATAGTAAGTGGCACATGTTGAATATATGTCAATTATTGTTGAGCTATGCTCACTTTGACCATCATTAGTTAAAGTTTTAGAGTATGATTGTAATATTATCTATAAGTTGAAGGATAGTTTTTGTAGTTTTTCTTATTTTTTTAATTAATAATAATTTCAAGTTGGTTTCTTTCCGCTTAAACTAATTTGCATGAAGTTCATACCCCAAAACTTAGGTGTACTTTAATCTTTAATTTCATCCATTTAAACCCGAGTGTTAGCAATTCATCCTCCTCAAGATAGAATATAAAATTTATTCATGAACCAATCAACAAATCATACAAAATTGCTTGTATCAAAAAAAAATCATACAAAATTGCTAAAGCGAGCATAGCTCAATCATAATTAACATATACCTCCAACCAAAATGTTGTGAGTTCAAATTCTCTCCCCAACATGTATTCAAAAAAAAAAACAAATGATACAAAATTCTAACTCACAAAACACTCAAAATCCTGAAAAAAAATAATACACAATAGGTCTCAATCGACACCATAACTAGTTAGAATATAATACCCAAATCCAACTAATTAAAAGCACTCAATACACAATTAGAACAATCGATAGTTACGAAAAATAGTCTCAATCGACACCATAACTAGTTAGAAATCTTCCAAACTAAACTTTTTAATTAATACAGGAAATAAAAAATTGCAACACTACTTGAATTTCTAGGCTAAAATAAATGAAATTAAAAATTTAAGATTAAAATTTACTTACCCACGCCTAAGTTCAAAAGCCATGAATCAACTCAATTCTTCCATTTTAATTTATTTGAACCAAGTCCAACCTAATTCATACGGTTTAATTAGGTTGATGGGATGAGAGTTTATCAAACAAATTTCAAAAAAAAAAAAAGAAAAAATCACAAATCAATATTTACTGGAAATATATATTTGAATTGATCCTCAAATATACATAAAA